TACATGGTAAAAAAGAGCTACATGCTAATACAAAACTACAAGCTAACAGAGAGCTACATGCTAACACAGAGCTCCAAGCTAACAGAGAGCTACATGCTAACACAGAACTAAATGCTAACACAGAGCTCAGCTCCAAGCTAACAGAGTGCTACATGCTAACACGGAGCTACACGCTCACTGAGAGCTACATGATTACACAGAGCTACATGCTCACACAGAACTAAATGCTAACACAGAGTCCAAACTAACAGAGTGCTACATGCTAACAGAGAGCTACATGCTAACACAGCACTACTCTGTTCTCATCCATCATTCAAATTCCAACTAAAAAACCACAGAAAGTGAAATCATCTGGAAGGTTCTGCAGCTCCTGCAGGTCAAACCTTCATCATTTACTCACATAGATCAGGTTCTCCTTGAAGCGCTTTCGCAGGTTCTCTATGAAGGCCGCTTCACTGGTGTAATTCTCCAGCAGGACGAAATCCTGCACACCCACCCGGTCTCTGGCTGTCAGGGCCGACTCCATCATAGCACGGACCCCGTCACTCGCCACCACCTGAGACAAAAAGACAGGAAGTGTTGGGATCAAATGTTGATGATGTAATGGAAAGACTCTCCTCTGAAGGAACATGGCTCCTGCGGAGTCTAGAAAAGAAACTCGTTCCCATTTAGCTTCCTGTTGCTGGCAGCTTGCGGCTGCTAAAGGCTAGGCTAAGAGCTTCTCAGCGAGAAGGAGATTTTTTTTTTAAATATATTAAAAACACTTTTTTCACAATTTATAAATTTCTAATGAATATTTTGGGAAAAGATTTCGACTGTTTTATTGCACTATTACGTGTATTTTGATTTTAATTTAATTGATTTGAGGCCTACGTTACGTTGCCATGGCAACCTCTAGCAAGCTAGTGGTCGCCGCATAAAGAGGACTCCCGCTCGCAGCAGTACACTAGTAAATTTACAAAGTCTAATGACAGAAACAAGGAGGAAACACAGCACAAAAACACATTTTGTTTTTTTTTTTTGGAAAACCACCATCAACCACCATGAAGAAGAACACTAGCACGGTTACCACGACAACGGAGAGCAGCAGGGGGGAGGAGACTGTCCTCCCGCCTCTGATGGTTGTGCCGGCAGACCCAGCCCCAGCATCCGCAACACAACCTAGCATGGTTTAATTGGACGAGCCCTTCCATCCAACATCCAGTTAAAAAGTCCCCCCCCGAAAAAAAAAAATCACACAGCACCTCCTGTTCAAAATGACTTCCAGTGGCTCTGCTCCCGCAAAGTCGCCTCCTATTATTGCATCGCATTGTTCCAAATCTCTTTGAGAGCTGCTGTTGGATGAATCGCCTGGACCGAAGACGAGGCCTGCAGAGAGCCGAACCGAGGCGAGGGCCCTCCATCCCACCGGGCCCTCCATCCCACCGGGCCCTCCATCCCACCGGGCCCTCCATCCCACCGGGCCAAACATCCATCCTTCCCCCGATTCCATCCGATGCTTCATGCTCTGCTTGGGTGAACTAGGTAGAGTAAATAGCTGTGTTTGTGTTTAATTAGAAATAAGCTGTCTGATACGAATGCTTATGGTTTTAACCAGCGGCGGTTGGCCAATAGAGGGCGCTAGGGTGCCGCCCAATCCACCAAATCACCAGGATTAAGATATAAAAAAAAAAAACTTTAATTTTAAACAAAAATTTTAAATATTTCAAAATATATTAAGATATATTTTAGATATGCAAGATAAATATTTGATCTTTAATAACAGAGAGAGATCAAATGGTGCAAGAAACGTCTTTTTCCAGGACCTGGTTTAGCTTCAAGGCTAGGCTAACTGCATGCAGCGAGGCTAACTGCACGCGGCGAGGCTAACTGCACGCGGCGAGGCTAACTGCACGCAGCGAGGCCAACTGCACGCGAAGAGGCCAACTGCACGCGGCAAGGCTAACTGCACGCGGCGAGGCTAACTCCACGCGGCGAGGCTAACTGCACGTGGCGAGGCTAACTGCACGTGAAGAGGCCAACTGCACGTGAAGAGGCCAACTGCACGCGGTAAGGCCAACTGCACGTGAAGAGGCCAACTGCACGCGGTAAGGCC